CCCCAAAACCCCAAAACCCCAAAACCCCAAAACCCCGCTTGCTTTAAATTTTTCTGAAAATTTAAAATTTAATATATATGAGAGACGAGGGCATCCATTCCAGGTCTAAGGCTAATAGAAGGAGGAGTGAAAGCAGAGAGCCTGAGATAGTAATACAAGATCATATCTTCATGATTAATGAGAGCAAGATGATGAGTACTGTTAGGGAAGACTCTGAATATGAAATTGTTGTTGAAGAATCAGATACTATAAGGTATAGTTTTAGAAATTTATCGTTTTTGATATTAGGAGTGAGATTAGATAGGTTTAGATGTTGAAAAAGGAGATTTAATGCAATTATGGACCCATAGGTTTTTAGATATGAGCTTTTGGATATCTAGAAACTGATTTATTGGTTTAAAAGATAGTTTGACATTTTAAAAATTTAGCAATGGGAGACATCTAGATGGTTACAGAGATGGAGACGATGAAAGCGATAAATACTTCTGACCTTTTACAGGAGCACACTTTGAATTTTCAGAAATTACAAGAAAGCTAAAATAAAGTTCTCAGAAGAAGGTCAAAAGGATTATCTTTAAAATCAAGTAATTAAACTCTCACTTTGGGGAGAACTTACAAAAACTTCTCTGGAGGCTGATCTAAAGACTAAAGATATGATGAATACCAAGATATGTAAGTCTTTCTATAATAATCTTGTAATATAGTCCAGACGCAGAACAGCATTGGGACCGTGATTTCAACAATGACTAATCCTAAGGACTTAGAAATCAGGACTATTGAAACTCTTGAGAACTCGAAACAGAGTAAGGTCTTTGATAAGGAAAATTCTTATCAGGATCAGTTCAAGTTGTCTAAGAAGAGCCATCTCAATCAGCTAGGCATGTTGGGAAGCAATTTTGCAACTGAAGATCTGAGTAAGTTTCATCAACTTCTCCTTGGATTCTAGTCCTTCACTGCCCTATTCACTTCAATAAAAATTGTCAGGAAACTTCCATTGTGTTGCTAATTTTTATAGAAATTGTCAAGAAGCAAGCCAGCCCGCTAGGCATTTACGCTGAATCAGGGACATTTGATGAATTTTGAAAATCCATAAATGGCAAGTTCAGTACGAGTATGATTAAAGGAGAGAAAAATAAGCGAATTTTGATACCCAAATAACTCCATCAAGACACCATCAAAATCTTCTAAAAAAAAAGGGCTCAAGGGGAAGGTCCGTAAAGGTGCTGAGTCCTGTAGGATTGAGAAATACTTAAAGAATGCAGAGAAATTCAGCTACCCTGGGAGCAGTCTTTCCATCCAGCATGCTGAAAGCACTCAGCTTTCGACGATCGATAGCAAGAAAATGAAGATTTTTCAGAAGAACAAGATCTTTAACAGCACAAATTTATCTAAGATGATCAAGAAGAAAAAGTATTCAAGAAAAATGAAATCTGGCGAATACCGTCTGGGATCAGAGATCAACCTCACAAACTGTAAAAACTACGACAGAGTGAAAATAAAAGGGCTTTTCAAGTCAAAATGAATCCCTGTAAAAACCGCCCTCCCTCACAACAATAAAAGAAAAAGTAGTAGTAAGAGCAAGAGTAAAAGCAAAGGTCCGAAGGTGAAATATCAGCTCTCTTCTTATGCTGTGAAGCTTAAGAAAGGAGCCAAGAAAGATCCCAGCCTCAATGGTCTCAGCACTAGGGAGAAATCTTCTAAAGTATCACATATTTTCGACTTTAACCTCGTGAATAATTTCAAAAGTGTCCCCAAGAAGAAGGTAACAAAGAGAAGTCTAGAGAAAAAGGCGTTCAAGAAGCTTAATTTTAAGAAGAAGCTTAAACAAAAGACTACTTTTGATTTTGCCAATGTTCAAGGGACTACTAACACAAAAAAGGAGAAGGTAAGGTCAAAGTCAAGGTCAAAGAAGAGACAGAGCATAGAGCACTGACAATAAAAACAGTTGATAATTAATAAATCTGTATAGTTTTCCTTACTCAGAATCCATCTTCTCCTAAAGTATAACTAGATATGCTAATTTCGGCTCTGAGCTCTTCAGTCATGCGATAGGCTATCATATTTCTTTTCTCGAGGTATATTAGTTCAAAGGAATTACTTGGCAAAGAAGCTCAAAACTTATGGTTTGCTGTATGATAAGCTACATTAGTTTTAGTCACTCAGACTATTGTATCTCTTTTTGATCTGAAACAGCCCATATTCTGTGTGGTTAACATTCCAGAGGTAAGTCTGATATAACTGCTTTCCGCACTTTCTAGGTCCTCAGTCTTTGATAATTTTATATTGATTAACCAGAGATTTAGAATTGAGGCTGGATCATTAAGTTTTACTCTTCATTGAGTTTATTAGTCCTGTTCTAGCAAGTTTTAGGCATACATGTTACATGCTTTAAAGGGCTCCAATCGATGAAAGTTATGATATTAAGCACGTTTTTGGCTTTAATAATTTAATAATAAAGGCGGTTTGATGAATTTCAATTTCTGAATATTCAAAAGAAACTATTATTTCTACCTTGTAGCTTCTGTGACCACATCTCAGGAACTAGATCTCCCCATCAGGCTAAGGTATCCTGGCATATTTATACTCCTGAGTATATATTAAACAAATGAAAATTTGAAAACAGAAATAGGAATTCTCCTTTTAGTCATTTCTAATTGTTATTAGAATTTTAAAAGTAGTTACTGGGGTTTTGGGGTTTTGGGGTTTTGGGGTTTTGGGG